CTTCCCGCCCAGGAAGCTAGCTCAGTTCAAAATGTTCAATTCAAAACATTTTTCTTTGAGAAAGCTTCCTGGACAAGAAGCGAAACGTCTTCAGCTTCACTATAGAAGTCCACTTGTTTTTGTTACGTAAACTTTTTTCTTTTAATTTATCATGACCTGGATGACTGTGAGTCTTCACTAGCATATATAAGATTGAAAAAAAGATTTATTTATAGAACAAAACAAAATGCTAATGGGACATCAAAGACTTACAAAATTTGGGGAATCACAGGGAGGGCATTCAGACTGTAGRAAACAACAATGTGCTGCTGAAGAATGGAGGAGAACAGGCTATATGGAACAGGGCTGATAGTAAGTCAGGGCGGCTGTAGCGGAGTGGTTAGGGGAGTCGTCCTGGAAGGTCTCCGGTTCGATACCCGGTCCAGCCAYCTCAGTTGTTGTGTCCTTGGGCAAGACACTTCACCCGCCTTGCCTACTGTTGGTGGTCAGAGGGTCTGRTGGTGGCAATGCATGGCAGCCTCACCTCTGTCAGCGTGCCCCAGGGCAGCTGTGGCTACAATGTAGCTTACCATCATCAGTGAGTGAACGGGTGAATGTCTGTGTAAAGGGCTTTGGGGTCTGGAGGGACTTAAAAGCTCTATATAAGTTCAGTCCCTTTAAGTGGAGATGGGCTGAATGACTGGGAACTGGTAAAGTGGGCGTGGCAAGCTGAGTGGAGCAGGAGACACGGGGGAAAACACAAGTAACRCAAACCAAAGAAACTTAATCCTAAAATACAAAAGGTTACAAACGAATCTAACAAAAACACAGATTCTGACACTTGCACTTTATCAGAGCTTTAAAAGCAGAATGTAGTGGAAAGATTTATTATTTTTGTGACAGATAAGCACAGAAACACATCTAATTGTAGCAATATTGAAAGGAAAAATAGCTTTTTTCAAATGATAAATTTAGTTTGGAATGAATACTTTAAAAATCACTGAAATTCAGTAATGAGATTCAGTTAAAGATTCAATGTAACACTTCATTAAAAACACTTAAAACTTAAGAATATTGTCTGTAAACATTTTAAACATTGCTTAAGACAACATGTGATGGACTTGCAACCTGTCCAGGGTGTACCCTGCACCTCGCACAGTGACTGCTGGATGTGGGCACAAGTGACCCCCATGACGCTGAAAGAAGAGGTGGGTAAAAGATAAAGGATGAAAGGAACAACACTTTTTGATATAGCATGAATATTTTTTTAAAAAGCAACCCTTCCATCCACAAGGTGGAGACAATAACACATAAAAGAAATACCCTCGTTTTTACTCTTCTATTTATTTTTGCACATTTATCGTGTCTCAGTTTAATTTAGCTCAACACAAGATTTCATATATAATTGCAGAATATTGTTTTGAATATTCTGACTCAAAGACTGATAACAGAGCTTGAAAGAGATAGATTTTCACTGGCAGCAGATCAGAATAAGCATGTAAACCACACAGCAGCAGATCTGAACATTTATTTATTTCATGAGCATTTTGAAAATCTTATTTAATCACGGTAAAGTTTTAGAGCTGCAGTTCACTGTCTCTACACAAGGGGGCCTCATTTCATTTTGAGTCCAAGGAGGTTCAATGAGCCTAAAATAATAGTTTTTGTGAATGTGTGATCTTTGAGAATACAGTTTTTTTTAAATCTTATGTTAGAATGATGAGGCTCACAACTGTTTGTTTCTTTTTTAATTAGGAGTAATCTGTTCAAAAAATGGCTGCTTGATTAGTCCAACTGTCAAAAAAAGAAAACAAAAAGTGTATTTTGATAAACAATTACACTTTTTTTTTTCCATATAAGACACAATGCTTGATTGCCTGCAGCTGCTGGGCCTGTCTGTGCAGAGTCAGGGTGTTTTAGGGACTTTAGACACACTTGACTTTCCGTTGCCCACTCCACACTTCAGTGGAAAGAGGAAAGTCCCAAATTGACCCAGGTAATCAGAACCTTGGTGGCGAGGGTGGGGTATGGGATAAGATTAGAGACGAGGAGAAAAGGCTGTACTTTAGCTTGCGTGAGTTATGACTGCGCTCAGATGGCAATCACCAGACTGCCAGACTCCAAACAGGACAACAGTAAAACCAAAAACTAATGCCTCATCTTGGACAGGGCCTTTCATTATCCATGGTTGCTCTGAGTTTCCAGCCTGGTGATGTCACCAACAACAACTAACTAACTAACTAAATAACTAAATAACTAAATACATACATACATACATACATACATACATACATACATACATACATACATACATACATACATACATACATACA